ACACACTACTGAAGGGCTACTTGCAGCACATAAACAGTCCAAAAAACAGTCCAGGAAGAAGTATACTGCTGTAAACTCCACACTTAACACACCAATTTTAAACACAGCACATACCTGGACAAAGGGGATCACACACCCCTGTACAGCACCTGTACGAAGGTGCAGAAAACACAACTAGGCCTTCACAGCTGATGTAATCTTAGTTATGTGCCGCAGGGGCACTTTTGTCATTTTAACTTTTTAATTTTTATGTAGTCACCCTAACTTATAAATACAAATGCTGGGCACCGCCAGCTTATGTTTTTGGTCTAAATCTTTCGCCTCTTCCTTCTCTCCTCTCTTCTTCTTCTTTCTTCTTCCTTCTTCTCTTCTCCTCCTCTCATCTCTTGATTGAGATCTTTCTTCTTGCCGAAATCATGGTATCAGAGCAGGTTGGTGCTCTGTAAATTTTTTTTTTTGGTCGATGACATCCTCTGTGTACACTTGACTGAGAATGAAGAAACGAAGTCAATTTTGGACCTGAGAACTCATTGGCTGAATCTCCCTCTCCAGTTCTGGGCAGAAACTCAACTGAAGTGATTGCAGAAGATTGTTCTGGACCTGAGAACTCATCGGCTGGATCTCCCTCTCCTGTTCTGGGCAGAAATCAACTGAAGCGATTGCAGAAAATTCTTGATGACTGGTTGAGTCCTTCCAAGAGATTGGTGGCTCCTTTTTTCTATTCTCTTTTATTATTCTTGGACTGGAAATTCCAGAAATCACCTGAACTGAACTTGGACAGGTTTTTTTAAACCTTTTTTTCTTTGGTTCTTTGTGCTGGTACCAAGAACAGGTTGAGGGTTGCCTTGACCGAATGGTATAAGGGAGGTTTAAACCCTTCTTTGTGGGTCAGATGATCCAGAAACCTGTGAACTTATGGAATTAGTTGTAGGTCATGAGTGACCTGGTTTGGTTGACTGTTACAGAAACCGTGTATTGATGCTTGTGGCTTATATTAGCCTTGGAGAGGCCCGTTAGATCAGTGAAAGTGTGTTGCAGCAAGGGCTGTGATTGTGTTCCAACTGTCAGAAAACTTAAAGTAAGGTTTGTGTGTATTGACTGAAGTGAAGGGACTGTTGTTGTCTTAGTAAGCGTCAGTCATGAATTCTGAAGATTCAGCAACCTCTGGAACCTCTTTTAACCAAGGAGGAATGAACAACAGTATTGACTCCATGAGCCTTCCAACGTATGGTATACACAATTTCAAGCAGAGATTTGAACTTTCCAATCAGACAATGCCAAAGAGTACTTTCATGGTGACTTCACAGAATTTTTTGAAACTTGTGGCTCTATTCATCATAGTTCTTATTCTCGAACCCCTCAACAGAATGGGGTTGTAGAGAGAAAGAATCGTCTTCTCTTAGAGGTTGCTCGAGGGTTGTTGATACACATGAATGTTCCAAAAAGGTTCTGGGTGGATGCTGTTATGACTGCGGCTTATCTTATCAATCGGATGCCATCTCATCTCTTGGAGTACAAGTCCCCTCATCAGCTCATCTTCCCTACAGCTCCATTGTTTCCTATCCCTTTGCGTGTCTTTGGGTGTAAGTGTTTTGTCCATGATCTATCACCTACCCGTGGTAAGCTAGATCCCAAAGCCATTGTTTGTGTTTTCCTTGGCTATCCCCTTTCCCAAAAAGGTTATTGTTGCTTTGACCCTATTTACAAAAAGTATTTTGTATCTATGGATGTTTCTTTCTTTGAAGATGTGCCTTTCTTTCTTGCTTCTCCTCAGGAGGAGAGTCCAAGTGAGGAGAAACAGAGACAGGTTTTGTTGGCTTCTCCTCTTGACCCTCCTCCATTTTGGGTCTTTCGTAGATAGCAGTACAAAAGTCAAGGTTGTGATCAACGAAGTTCAATAGACACAGAGCATCCTGAAGCTGTGTAACCTGTACCATCGAACTCTCAGGGGTTGAATCAATCACCGTATCTAGGTACTATTGTTCTAGTTGACATCCTTGTGCCCATTGATATTGATACTTCTAATTGTGATCTGGATCTTCCTATTGCTAAGAGGAAAGGTGTCAGATCATGCACCACACACCACCCGATGGCCCTTTCCTTATCCTATGAGCATGTTTCATCCTCTTTCCGTGCTTTCCTCTCTACTATTGACAGTGTTTCCTTTCCTAAGAGTGTTGCAGAAGCTTTACTTGCTCCTGAATGGACAGATGCAATGAAGGAGGAGGTCAATGCCCTTCACAAAAATGGCACATGGGAGCTGGTAGATCGTCTTGAAGGAAAGGAACCTGTGGGGTGCAAATGGGTATCCTCTGTGAAACATAAGGCAGATGGCACAGTGGAGAGAGGTACAAGGCCCAACTAGTTGCAAAAGGTTTTTCACAGGTGTATGGAGTTGATTATGTGGAAACCTTTGCACCTGTAGCAAAAATGAATTTTATTCGAGTCCTCCTTTCTTTAGCAGCAAATCTAGATTGGGAACTTCATCAGCTGGACATTAAAAATGCTTTTTTGAATGGTGACTTAGAAGAAGTGTATATGATCCAACCTCCAGGTTTTCGTGCTAAAGGAGATGAACAAAAAGTATGTAGACTAAAGAAATCTTTGTATGGTTTAAAACAGTCTCCAAGGGCCTGGTTCAGTAGGTTCCACAATGCAGTTCAACAGATGGGTTTTAAGTAGTGTCAGCCTGATCACACACTCTTTGTGAAGAGAGAGTAAGGAAGAATGATAGATTTAATTGTGTATGTTGATGACATTATTATCACCGGTGATTGGGACTCAGAGATACAAAAATTGAAGAGATTCTTGGCCACTCAATTTAAAGTGAAGGATTTGCGGCCTTTACATTATTTCCTTGGAATTGAAGTGGCCGCTCTAATCAGGGTATCTTAATCTCCCAGAGGAAATATGTTCTTGATCTCCTGAAAGATACGGGGAAGCTTGGAGCATAACTTGCTAACACTCCTATAGATGTAAACCATAGGCTCAGGGATTGCAGTGATGAGCCCATAGCAGATATAAAGCAGTATCAAAGATTGGTGGGTAGACTTCTCTACCTATCTATGACAAGACCTGACATTGCGTATGCAGTGGGAGTCCTTAGTCAGTTTATGCATGCTCCCAAGGCCACACACTTGGAGGCAGCACACAGAGTTCTTAGATATTTGAAGAAATTCCCTAGGACAAGACTCTTGTTTGGAAAACATGGGCATATGATAGTTGAGGTTTACACTGATGCAGATTGGGCTGGTTCTGTGAATGACAGAAAATCTACTATTGGCTATTGTGCTTTTGTTGGGGGAAACTTGGTTACTTGGAGGAGTAAGAAACAAAGTGTGGTGGCCAGATCGAGTGCAAAAGCTGAATATAGAGCCATGTCTCATGGTGTGGCAGGACTTCTATGGATAAAGAATCTCTTGGGTGAATTGGGCTTTCCTCTCAGTGATCCTATGTCATTATACTGTGACAATAAGGCTGCTATTAACATTGCAACCAACCCTGTTCTCCATGATAGAACTAAACATATAGAGGTTGACAAACACTTCATCAGGAAAAAATTGGAAAAAGGAGGAGTTTGCACTCCCTACATCATCTCTGAGGAACAACTAGCAGACACCCTTACTAAAGGATTAAATTCCATGCGGCACTATAATCTTTGTGACAAGTTGGGGACAATTGATATCTATGCCCCAACTTGAGGGGGAGTGATGTAATCTTAGTTATGTGCCGCAGGGGCACTTTTGTCATTTTAACTTTTTAATTTTTATGTAGTCGCCCTAACTTATAAATACAAATGCTAGGCACCACCAGCTTACGTTTTTGGTCTAAATCTTTCGCCTCTTCCTTCTCTCCGCTCTTTTTCTTCTTCTTCTTTCTTCTTCCTTCTTCCTTCTTCTCTTCTCCTCCTCTCATCTCTTGATCGAGATCTTTCTTCTTGCTGAAATCAACAGCATTAGCCGAAGGTAAAAAAGGAAGCTTCACAGCATCGGCCTCCACCAACTAGGGTTACCTTGGTGCTACGACCAAGGAAGAACCCAGAAGAAGTGACAAGAGGTATTTCTTATCAGTCCGGTTAGATTTTTTGTCTTCATAGTCCAAGAAAACTGACGCCTGGGTGTGATGGATACTTCTCAGTGGAAAACACAACTCCTATTGCCCAGAGTTGTGCTCTGATCCCATGTAATCGTACAAGAAAGAGGAAGAAGAGAGAGGAGAGAAGAAAGGAGAGGAGAAGAAGAGAAAAATGTGAGAGTCGAAGAAATCAGTGCTGGCGGTAGGTCCCTGAATCCCTGGCGGCAGTCTAGGCTGACAGCATTCTAACAGCATGAATAAAAAAACAGCTTAAATCTAACAACAGAGCCCATGCAGCACTGCCCATAATTCTGTTCTAATAAGTCACCTTCCGCTATGGTCCTGAAAAAATTGCTTGGATGTGTCATTCCCAATTCCTGAATACACTTCCTACCTGTCACCAAAGCTTAACAATTATATATAATTTTTCATCCAGGAAAAACTATCTCTTTGTCAACATTGTCTTTGTCTTTCAATCCAATAATGTTTCGTTAGATAAGAAGAGATTTGACAAATACCGATAACTCTTGAATAGAATATTAGAATGGAAAGTGAACTATTGGTTTTAAGTCTTCTCTGGTGATAAATCAACAATTTAAGGCAAATATATTTTAAATTTGTACATGTGCAATTCATATAGAAGTTTTACCTTTCTTTATCATCCTTGGACAGCTACATATTTGTGCTTGCACATTCATTTGCATGTTTCTTAAGTACTTTGGAGACTATAGGATGTGAAACAATATCAGCAATCTTTCTTTATGTGCCATTCAGTTATTTGCTTTTGTTTTTCATGTGTTGACATTTTCTGCTATTTTTTTAAAGTTTTAGTTCTCCATAGTCAGCTTTCAAACTTTATACTGCATCTGTTTAGTTTCAAATTTGTGCATTGTGTGTCTTATATAAGTGCTGCTCTCATGGTACAGGGATCAGCTAATGTTGGAAAATCTGCATTCATCAATGCTTTACTGAGTAAGTTACTGTGACTCCTTTCATCCACTCCTTGCTTCAGCATGGATTATATAATCATTTAAAGGGAGACCTTTTACCCCTTGTATGTGTTTATCAGCATGGGAGTAGGACACAATTTTCTGTTTCTTATTATTGAGAGTTTAGATGATTTCATTGCTTGGGGCTAATGTTTCTAGCTTTTCCTCTTTGCACTCCACATGCTTCTCCTATTAGTGTTTTTTGTTTGCATTATGCATGTTATTTTATTGGTCTCAAACAGACAATCCTTTTGTAGTTACGAAAAATATCTATTAGATTTGCAGTGCCAATTTCACAGATAAACCTACAGAACTTCCTGATATATTTATCTTTAATGACACATTAACTCTTCCCAGTTAGAATTCAAAATCAGATCTGTTGATTTCCTTGAACTCTGTAAACCATTGGCGCTGCCCATTGATAGCTATAATTATATAACCCTAGCAAGTGCACTAGTTATCAAGTAGTATAAAAATATCGTTCCCACGAGGATTTAACAAAATAAGTATTAGAACTATAGCTTCCTTCAATTATTTGAACAACCGAATTCTAACAATAGGAACTA